GAGACCCTCCTTCTACCACAGCGAGACCATAATTCGCAAATGCGAGTTGTTTGACTTTGATCTTTAAGCCTTGGAAAATGAAATTTCCCCGAATTTGGAGAAATCACGTAATGTTGACATCAATACTAAATTAAATGGGAAGCAAGCTTGTCAAGCCTGCAGTTGTTTGTTATATTTCGAAGAAAAGGAAGAAGCCCAGTCACACATAATTTTTATCGTTCAAATTATCGCTCGGTGTTAGTTCCCTCTAGTTGCAAGTTTCATACAATTGTCTTAGAAAAAGAGGAAACAAAAAGTTTAAAGCAGCCAAAAATGCCGTTGGGAGAATTCATCGCGGATCCTACGCAGTAACTGTAGTCCAGTCCATTTCCCCTACCTCTCTCCTCTCGTCAAAAGAAATATGTATAACTATTTAGTATAAGTATTGATTATTACTGAGAGTCAAGCTACTTCTCTCTCTAATGTCATTTGCTCGTTGCCATATTTCGGTCACTGGATTAACGCCTTCAAAGGTAAGACCAGTGATGTGGTTATTTTCGAGCAAATTATCGATCCAATCCATCCGTTTTTATTTTAATCTATTATAACAGTTACTATTTTTGTCTTCGTTCAGTGCAAATCACACCCACAAGAAAATGAAAAGTTCATGAGTACAATAGTCAGTTTTCATGCAAAGATAGCTTACTGTTTAAAGACAGAAGCTTTAGTTGTACTCTCGATCTGATCGATCTAGTGATGCATGTGCAACTGTTCCAAAAGGGATGAACACCGAAACCTGTCGTTTCCCGTTAAACAGAGTAAGATGTTTCATTTCTGGATGCTAAAATCAATTATAAGTAAGAAAAGTGTGACGTGCCAAACCAAAATACAGTCACTTAATTTTTTTTAGCATTTTTGGCTTCAATCATGCAAATCACTCCTGCTTGAAAGTGAAAAGTTCACGAAGACAAGGAGTCGATTTTCACGCAAAGATAGCTTAGTGTTCAAAGAAAGAAACTAGGGTTGTAGTGTGATTGATCTTGTGATGAAAATCACATCCTTCAAAGGGGTAAACACTAAAGCCTTACGTTCCCTATTGACAACAGAAATAACACTTTTCATTTTTCATGTTTAATTACATCATTCATGATAAAAGGGTGAGTTACAAAACCGGTACAGTTACTTGTGGCATAAGTAACTTTTCAAGCGCAAAGGCTAAAATGATAGCTAATTTGTCCTATCCTGTCCAGGAACTATTAAAAGTCTGTCCACGAGAGGACCGGGCAGGCGTGACACATTCCACCTCACCGATTTCTTTCGAACTTTCACAGTTTACGAGGGTCGGTAACATGTTCAAGAATCCAAGGTAGCTCGGGCTCCCGGCTAATCCCTGGGGTATTGGAGCCCCCCACATCAAATCCCTAGGGTAAAAGGCTAAAATTAGCTCGAAAATGCACTTCCAACGAATCTCTCTCACACTAAGAGAATGCGATGGATTTTAATCTTGTTATGTCCAATGGTTGTTTGAAGCTCAAAGAAACAATTTTTTAAAGTTGGGGTAATTTGATATAACTTTTGTCAATTTAGAGCTAATTTTTCGATCTTTGTGTTTGCAATATGTAGTTATGTCACGTTTCGAGAAATTGATGATAACAAAACTAATTTCAGACCTTTATTTTTGTTGTGGTCTGTCCCTCGCTGATATCATAGGAAATCCGGGGCGCTTCATTACGTGGTTTTCCAGTGGCTATGAGCTGCATTAGCTATTAACTTGATTTTGTTTTAGGAGGGTTCAACGAACGATTCAGAGATCGCGGTGGATTCGAATTAAATTTCCTTTTTCTTCTTTAACACAAGCGTTTCGTGGTCGAGATACCTTCACTTAAATCTTTGGATACTAGCGGCGGGTTCTACAGCATATATTTTTCTTAAGACCGTAATTTGTTTCTTTGTCTGTTGAAGCGCCAGACTCGCATAACATGATAAGTTATGACGCTGCGCGCTCGCGAAGAGAGATGTTTTCATTTTCTCAGAGAAACTGAAACTTACTTAAATTTACTGTAATTGCATACATAGAACAAACGTGCTTTTCCGTTGAACGGATGCTTTATATCTCCACCGTTAAATTGTTTTCTTCAAACTTTTACGGTTTTATACGATATATTTCAACCTCATTAGCTAAGATTGTTAAGCATTGTTTAATTGGAGAAACTGATAGAAGAGAGGTCAGTCTAGGACACCACGTGCTCACGCTGAAAGATGTTATAATTCTCTGTGGGGAACTAAAGCAAGTTGATAATTAGATCATGATCAAAGTTAACATGCCGGCCATCAGGCAAACTTTTGTGAATTAGATTTATATAAAAATGTCAGCTTAAGGATTACAAACAAACGATTTAATATGTTAGAAATAAACAATCGTAAAGAATGGTTTTATTATCTAAAACCATTGGTAGATCACTGCACCTGTATCGCAGAGGTCATGGGTTCAAATCCCGTACAGGCCTGAATTTTTTTCAGGCCTTATTTTCACTACTGCTCAAGTAGTGTTTATGACTACAAAGATTGCATTCACGTCTTTATCCGCAGTTCAGATATATAACTTTCATATATTCAGAGTCGTTTAAAAATATACCCTCAGGATGTTTTGAAAATTTGTGGGTTCTTATCTGAATAAAAAGACAATCATGGTAATTGTTGCACGACTGCGGAACTGTTTGAATGTAGGGAAAGTCCCGACTGTTTTTGTCTTTTCACTTTCAAAAGCATCCGTTACGAAGTCAACAACCGGTTAAGTACAAGTAGAAGTGATTAATACAAGGTTTTACAGCTTTCTTTCTTCAAAGTAATAAGTAATAATCGATTGTTATTTTGAGTAGCTTTGCATGAGGAACGTTTTAATGGCAAAGCCTAAAAAGAATGCTGTTTTTTTAATATTTCTCTTGAGCCTATCAATCTAAATTTCTACCGAAGTGAATTGAATTTGTTACAAAGCGACTTCGTTAAATCTTTGTGGCTTCACATCTTACCAATCATCCTCATCGGCTATGGAGAGGTTCGCTGATATGTATCTTTCTGGTTGGGCTAAGACCGTAAGCGCTTAAAACTGGAAGTGGAATACTGAGTTATGAGGGTGCTTTTTTTTCAAATAATATTATCGTTGTCTAGTTGTCAAGCTACGCAATAAAGGCACTCCTTAATCGCTGAAAATGTAAAGAAGTCGCCTATAGAGAAATAAAAGACTGAGGGCAAATATTTTTCGAGTTTCCTGACGTGATAAGTAAAATCCTAAGTTCTGTTTGGATCATAAAAAACCATATCAAAGTTACTTCTTCCCAATAGTGTCTACACCTGAGTTACGGTTAGTAGCGAGTGAACAATTGCATATCAGACTTTCCGCAAAAACCCATTTCTACGCTGAAAAATTGTTTGATCATTTGATTGGTTGATTTAAACTACAAATAAGGATGTGATTGACTTATTGAACTGTCCGATAACAAACTTTTTGGATGACAAACTACCTGATAACAACTTGGCAAGTGAATAAGTGGATAATGGGAGTTTTTTTAACCAATCACAATCGAGGAAATTGTAATTTTTATGATTGATAATGGTAATAGGGCCGAGTGGATTCCAATTCGGTTTGTAATACTACGAGCGATTGAAAATTTCCGAGAAATCAGTTACATCTGGTAGAGAAAATATGTAAAGAAATTAATTACTCCATTTTGAAAATCCCCCCAGTTTTTTTTTCCAGGATAAGTGGTTGTTGCTATGGTTATTGTGATCAATTTCGTGATTGGTGTATTTAACTGAGTGGACTGAGTATGATGGCTGCTTCAACCGTACGATTACAACTGTACAGAATGATTAGTGTAAAATAAAGCAGCTAATGCACAATCACATTTGAGGTTATGAATAATTAAATATATGAATTAAAAGTTTGTGTTAATCCATAATTTTAAAAAAAAGTCACGGTAAGGGTTGGCCGACTCATCGAATAGTTTGGAATGTTGGGAAAAGTCCCGACTGCCGTTATTTTTGCCGTTTCCCTTTAAAAGTAATAGCCAGGAGGGGATTCCCAGAAGTGATCTGGATACCCAAAAAATGGGGATACCCGAAAAAACTGTGACAGTGCAAGTTTCGGAATATTGGGAAAAATTTGTTTTGTTGTTGTCTGACTTTCAAAACCATCAGCTATATAGTCAACATCGTAGTAATTACGAAATTAATTTTGCAAAAATCACAACTTAAGTAAAATGAAAGGTGACAAATCGAGTTTGTCAAACCATTGGCACCTCAAATCTTGGCAATCATCCTCATCAGTTACGAATAGATTCGTTTTCAGCCATATACTTCAGATAAGTAAGCTCATTACTTAGTGATCCACTGCTAGAAAACATCCTCGCGACCCTCCAAAAACCCCTAATTGATAACGAGACCCCCCGATACACGACCATTACGCAAGCGCGCGTCATTTTTTTTATTTAATAAGGTAAACAAACGAAACAGCTAGATCAAAAATCACTTGGTTAACAACTGACTTTCACAGCATTACAGTCAGACAGTCCGTTTTCAAAGTTTCACCGAAGGTGATCTGTTGATGTGCTCCAGTTGCACTTATCCACTCCTCTTCCTTACTAACTTTTTGCTTTAAGTCGATATTGTGAATTCTAACACTTTCAGCTCGTTACAAAAGTTTCCAGGTGTAATCGACCCAGCCCGTTTTTGTAACTTCACATATAGGTTCCTGTTGTAGTGTCTCATTATGAATGCAGATTATCGAATCATTTGCTTAGCTTGTGTTATTAATAATAATGTTTCCCTAATAACAGGAGAGGATGGTAATAAAAATCTTACGACCTGAAGAAGACACGATAGCTTTCGTGAACATCGCCAAACAGGTTGCCCTGTTCCTGCTCAACTCAGACCGCATTCAGAAAGCCATTGAGATATGCAGCGAATGTTTGATTTTGCTAAATGAAACCGATCAAAACAGCAAAGGCGAAATAGAAAAGACCTTCTATTTCGTTCTTTTCAGCGCTTATCGTCGCGTGTCTGACTACGTAAGTGCGGAAAGATACGGCAGGGAACTGCTCGTCTTATACAGCGAGTCTGGTGACTTAGTAAAAGAGGGAGATGTAAGCATAGCTCTAGCAGATATTTTTGAGAGTCAAAACAGGTTTACAGATGCTAAAGAACTTTATGAAAAAGCAGTTAATATAAGGAGAAAAACTGGTGAAAGAATTGAAGAAGCAAGTGCCTGCGCAAGATTCGGAAATATGTTGTATGAACTTGGCGAAAACCTAAAAGCGAAGGAGTATGTTGAGAGAGCCCTTGCCATTAGAAATGAAATTGGCGACAAAAGAGGAGAAGCATCATGTTATGAAAGCCTAGGTAGTTTGTTTGGGTCTCTCGGGCAATACCACAAGGCTAAAGAGTATCTCCAAAAAGCGCTAGTCATCAGCACTAAAATTGGCGACAGAAGAGGGGAAGCATCATGTTATAGAAACTTAGGTAGTGTGTTTGAGTGTCTCGGGCAGTACGACAAGGCTAACGAGTATCTCCAAAATGCGCTAGCTATCAGCACCGACATTGGGGACAAAAGAGGAAAGGCGGCTGACTATGGAAACCTAGGTACTGTGTTTGAGTGTCTCGGGCAATACGACAAGGCTAAAGAGTATCTCCAAAAAGCGCTTGCCATCAAAACTGAAATTGGCGACAGAAAAGGTGAAGCATCATGTTATAGAAACTTAGGTAGTGTGTTTGAGTGTCTCGGGCAGTACGACAAGGCTGACGAGTATCTCCAAAATGCGCTAGCTATCAGCACTGACATTGGGGACAAAAGAGGAAAGGCGGCTGACTATGGAAACCTAGGTACTGTGTTTCAGTCGCTCGGGCAATACGACAAGGCTAAAGAGTATCTCCAAAAAGCGCTTGCCATCAAAACTGAAATTGGCGACAGAAAAGGTGAAGCATCATGTTATAGAAACTTAGGTAGTGTGTTTGAGTGTCTCGGGCAGTACGACAAGGCTAACGAGTATCTCCAAAATGCGCTAACTATCAGCACTGACATTGGGGACAAAAGAGGAAAGGCGGCTGACTATGGAAACCTAGGTACTGTGTTTCAGTCGCTCGGGCAATACAACAAGGCTGAAGAGAATCTCAAGGAAGCGCTCGTCATCAGAATTGAAATTGGCGACAGAAAAGGGGAGGCATCATGTTATAGAAACTTAGGTAGTGTGTTTGAGTGTCTCGGGCAGTACGACAAGGCTAACGAGTATCTCCAAAATGCGCTAGCTATCAGCACCGACATTGGGGACAAAAGAGGAAAGGCGGCTGACTATGGAAACCTAGGTACTGTGTTTGAGTGTCTCGGGCAATACGACAAGGCTAAAGAGTATCTCCAAAAAGCGCTTGCCATCAAAACTGAAATTGGCGACAGAAAAGGTGAAGCATCATGTTATAGAAACTTAGGTAGTGTGTTTGAGTGTCTCGGGCAGTACGACAAGGCTGACGAGTATCTCCAAAATGCGCTAGCTATCAGCACTGACATTGGGGACAAAAAGAGGAAAGGCGGCTGACTATGGAAACCTAGGTACTGTGTTTCAGTCGCTCGGGCAATACGACAAGGCTAAAGAGTATCTCCAAAAAGCGCTTGCCATCAAAACTGAAATTGGCGACAGAAAAGGTGAAGCATCATGTTATAGAAACTTAGGTAGTGTGTTTGAGTGTCTCGGGCAGTACGACAAGGCTAACGAGTATCTCCAAAATGCGCTAACTATCAGCACTGACATTGGGGACAAAAGAGGAAAGGCGGCTGACTATGGAAACCTAGGTACTGTGTTTCAGTCGCTCGGGCAATACAACAAGGCTGAAGAGAATCTCAAAGAAGCGCTCGTCATCAGAATTGAAATTGGCGACAGAAAAGGGGAGGCAGCTGACCACAGAAACCTAGGTACTGTGTTTAAGTCCTTCGGGCAATACGACAAGGCTAAAGAGAGTCTCCTAAAAGCGCTTGTCATTTGCACTAACATTGGCGACAGAAAAGGAGAAGCATCATGTTATGGAAACCTAGGTCCTGTGTTTGAGTGTCTCGGGCAATACAACAAGGCTAAAGAGTATCTCCAAAAAGCGCTTATCATCAGAACTGATATTGGCGACAAAAAAGGAGAGGCAGCTGATTATGGAAACCTTGGTACTGTTTCTCAGTCGCTCGGGCAGTATTACACAGCTAAAAGGTATCACAAAAAAGCAGTTCTCATCAAATCAGAAATTGGTGACAGAGAAGGAGAAGCATCGTGTTATGGAAACCTAGGTAGTGTGTTTGAGTCTCTCGGGAAATACGAAAAGGCTAAGGAGTATATCCAAAAAGCGCTTGTCATCAGATCTGAAATTGGCGACAGAAAAGGAGAGGCAGCTGACAACGGAAACCTAGGTACTGTGTTTAGGTCTCTCGGGCAATACGAACGGGCTATAGAGCATCTTGAAAAAGCACTCGTCATCAGAACTGAAATTGGCGACAGAGAAGGGGAGGCGGCTGACTACGGAAACCTAGGTACTGTGTTTAGGTCTCTCGGGCAATATGACAAGGCTAGAGAGTATATCCAAAAGGCGCTTGCCATCAGAACTGAGATTGGCGACAGAAGAGGAGAGGCAGCTGACTACGGAAACCTAGGTACCGTTTGTCATTCGCTTGCGCAATACGACAAGGCTATAAAGTATCTTCAAAGGGCGCTTGTCATCAGAACTGAGATTAATGACAGAAAAGGAGAAGCAGCTGACTACGGAAACCTAGGTATTGTGTTTCAGTCGCGCGGGCAATGCGACACGGCTAAGGATTATCTGCAAAAAGCGCTCGTTATCAGAACTGAAATTGGCGATAAGGAAGGGGAAGCAGCAGATCTTGCAAACCTTGGAATTGTGTGTAGAACTGTTGGAGATTATGAATCTTCAGAAGTATGCTTGAAGAAAGCTTTATCCATATCAAAAGATATTGGAGATAGAAGAAGAACGCTCCAAATTCTTCAAGAGTACGCCATTTTGTATTTATCTCAAAACAAAATCAAAGACTCCCTTTCGTGTCTTCGCCAGTGCATTGGAACGTATGACAACCTGAGATATTCCCTGGGTGCCAATGATGAGTTCAAAACATCATTTCTGGAGGACTCAGGAATATATCTCTACAAGCTGCTAAGTACTTTGCTTTGTTACACCGGAAATTTTCGAGATGCTCTTTATGTTGAGGAGTTGGGTCGAGCTAGAGGCCTATCAGACTTGATGGCAGAGAAGTACTCAGTTAAAACGCACATCTCTGCTAATCCACAATCTTGGTTTGGCGTTGAAAACATTTTTAGAAAGAAAAATAACTGTACTTGTCTGTACATTTCTTATTTTCAGAACCATGTGCATTTGTGGATCTTCAAAACAAGTGGAATCCCTTACTATAAAAGAATATCAGTAGAAGAGAATCTAGTTCAGGCTGGGTTGCCCAAAGATTTGCCTTTGAGTAAAATTTTGGGTGATAATTTCAGCAGGCTTGGCATTTTGCCCACTGAAGATTGTGAAGATAGGTCTTTAAATGTGGTTGAATTGCAACCTCTCTCACCCGAACAAAAGTGCTCACCAAGATTGCGACTCCTGGAGGAGGAGGACAAGGAATTCATTTCAAGTCTATCTATGTGTTACAAAATGTTTATTGCCCCCGTTTATGATCTGCTTGAGGAGGCTGAAGTCATTATCGTTCCTGACCGCAGTTTGTACAAAGTTCCCTTTGCAGCCCTGAGTGAAAAGGAGGGAGCCCAATACCTGTCGGAGACTCATAGGATCCGTGTCATTCCTTCTTTGACGACACTCAAGATCATTCAAGATAGTCCAGGTGACTATCACAGCAACACTGGTGCCTTGATCATAGGCAATCCTAAGGTTAATGGGCTGCGGCCATTGCCATGTGCAGAAAAGGAAGCGAAGATGGTCGGACAACTAGTGGGCGTTACGGCTCTGGTACAAGAGGAAGCAACAAAGCAGGCGGTACTTGAGCGGATAGGTTCAGTGAGCCTGATTCATTTTGCTGCCCATGGTGACCCCGAAAGGGGAGAAATTGCCCTCTCCCCCATTCCTACTACCAACAGTCCAGACGCTATCCTACCACAGGGAGATTACTTATTGACGATGGCTGATGTCTCAAGAGTGAAAGTCAGAGCTAAACTGGTGGTACTTAGCTGCTGTCACAGTGGAAGTGGACAGATAAGAGCCGAGGGAGTTATAGGAATTGCCCGTGCGTTCTTAGGATCCGGTGCTCGCTCGGTATTGGTTGCGCTGTGGGCCATTCCAGACCCAGCAACAGAGAAGCTGATGAGTCGGTTCTACGAACACCTTGTTGAAGGAGAAAGTGCCAGTGAATCCCTTCATCAGGCGATGAAGTGGATGAGAAAAAACGGCTTGAACCAAGTGTCTGAGTGGGCTTCATTTACGCTGATTGGAGATGACGTGAGTTTTGAGTTTGGGGCGCAGAGGTAAGACTCAGTGCGAAAAGATATTTTACAAATCAAAGCTAATATAAGATGTGAAGGTGGCTATGATTTATCGGCCACTGACTGTCGGCGGGGATCCTTTGTTACCTTGAATACCAAGGCTAGTTTTATACCTTTTTTTCGCTTCTTTCAAAGAGTAACAATTTATCCTCCCAGTTAGGTGTAAAATATAGAATCTCGAAAGCGCCTCTCTGTCAATCTTCCTATTACACCTGGTATAACTGTATTTTCTTTATTTAAGATATGTTGATTAAGTTATCTATAATTTTTTTTTACGTTTGTTACAGGAAAGAAGATCTCGAAGGAAACAGAATTTAGAGACTTTTAGATGGATAAACAAATAAAATAAGTAGAGAAAATACTCTATCCGTTATTTCATTGTGTAATTAAAGAAAGGGTAATCTCAAATTAAGCATATTAATTTCAATTTTTTGCGTTCTCTTTTCCGATCTTCTCAGAAGAAGGTATTGGTTACGTTTAAGAAAATTTTTTTTCCAGCACAAAAATTATCTTTTCCGGCTGAGACAATCAGCACGAAACATTGTTGACGCAAGGCTTTTGAGCGAAGTGAAATCAGGAAAGTTAAAACAGTAGTTTAAGCATCAAAAACGAGCCAGTCGAGTCTTACAGGGTTTTCTCTCAAAGCCTTTTGTCAGGTTTTATGAACAGAATTCTACATTTTTGATATAAAATCTCAACAGAAACCATTTCTTTTGGTCAGTTCCAGTACTACTTCTGAGTGCTTAAAAGACTGAAAAATACATGGATTTCTAAATAGGACCATGGAAAAGCTATCAAGGTCAAGAATTTTATTACTATAAAGAAGAAAAATTACGGCAGCTATATTTTGAAACTGGTTCAACAAGTCACTTACACATATTAATTTTTGAGATGATGTATATTTGCATGGTAATTAAATCGTTTTCAAGTCAGGTAGTTGTCAAAATGTTGTTTTGGGAATCAAAATATTCTTGTTTTTACCACATTTTATACACTTTTCTCTTTTTGGGGAATTTTTCTCAAGGGATTACGTAGTGATTCCAAAGAGGCTAAAATAAAAGACAGCTGGATAGAAATTTTAGAAAATATCGTCAACGTTTGTTTTAACCAGGTTACAGAGTAAAATGGATAGCACTGTTGTTCATTGTTAAGGCGGCAAGGTGGTGGGAGGAAGGATGCAAGTGGTATGAGTGTCTGCATGCGGTCCACTGGACGCTTTCTTGCGCAGGAAACATAAATAAACACCATGATCGCAAGAAGGTTGTTTTGTTTCTCATTGCTTTTCAGTGCATTTCTTTAACCGTTTCACCTCGACCCATGTTCCTTGATACTCATCTTATAGTTGAAAAAAATCTGGCGATGAAGTTCTGGTGATTAGTATGCTAGCGTCAGATATTACTTCCAGTATCAAATAATAATCTTTGTATCAACAGTTATAGCGACAAATGATCATACCTTATTATGGGAGCAAAACGAGCTTTTCATCCCTTTATTTGAAGTAAATTACGTCAATTTCAACATAAAAATGTGAGGTATAAATAAGTGATTACCTGCGCGAAAAAAGGTTTGACCATGTCACGTGTTCCTGAAAAGGTGTCCTGCACTTTTCCTCCTGTAACTGTTTCTGAGGGCGTTGAACTCCGTAAGATAATACCTGAACTATGAGTATCGGTGCATTGGGAAATTCTCGTTTTTACCCCAACCTACACGTTCTAACCCCCCTTCCCTCCCCACCTAACTGTGCTTTAAAAAGGAAATTAAAGAAATAATTCTTGCCGCGTTTGTTTCGATAACTTTCTGTGAGTTATTTTTCAAACCACTGACCCCTATGTATCATCTGCGGTCAACACGGAAGGCAATTCTCAGAGTCTTGATTGAACAACTTCACAACGTTATGAGTCATTTCGGTGCTGACGAGATTAATCTTTACATAAAAGTAAAACACAACATAAAAGACCCGTTGGAGGTGCGTTGACCCTGTAGGAAAAAATTAAGAAAAGCCTCTGGATTTTATCGCTTATGGTTTTATCAGTTATGGCGCTTAAGAAACTTTCATTATTTCATTATTACCATCATCATTATTATGTCAGCGTTGCATTTGTACTCTTATGAATCGAGAAGATCAATAATTCCTACCCCAACCTACACGCCCTAACCCCCTCCCTCCCCCACAGTAGTAATCAGTTTGCAGAATAAATTTTTGTTTCTTTTTGCTCTCGTCTAATTATCCCGCAGCAGTTTTCACAGTTGTTTCAAAAGCTTTCGATGAAAATTTTCCGCGCAAAATTTAGAAGTCATTCTGAAATTTGTAGATAGTCTTTTCTTTCTGTTTTGGTAGAGTTACACTTTTTCTAGACCATAAAACGTTAATGTTAAATACAGATTTTGGGGTATTTTACTTTACTTTAAATGCACGGAAGAGGCGTTTGCGTTTGATTACCCAAGATGAGTGAAACAATAAGAGCACTAGAAATGAAATATCCGGAGGCCAAAATTTGATAATAAACAACCAACCATCAAAGTGGAGTGTGTAAGTTATCACATTGTAACATGTAATATTATTATTTAGATTGTATTAAATACTCTTGCTCAAGCTTTCATTAATGCATGATGCTTCTTGCCAATGCTCATACCCAATCTAAACATTGATGTAAGGAATTGGTCACAAAATATGTGAGTTTTAACCCTTTAACTCCCACGTGTGACCAAGAGAGAATTTCTCCTTACAATATTAATACAATATCAAGCAGACAAGTGATGAGAATGAAGAAAAATACCAGATAGGAGATTATAAGTTGATCCAATACAAAATTCTCCAAACTAAAATCACAAGAACTGTATGGCAGACAGTAAGGAGAATTACTAAAGAGATCTTGGGAATTAAAGGGTTGAAGGGTGGGGATCTGGAAAGCAAGGATCCTCCTTTAATTAGGACTGAAATTAATGGAGGCCCTTCTATTTTAATTCATGTTTTTACTTTGACCTGCCTCCTCCCCCGTAATGTTTAAGGCACATAGAGGAAGAGAAAAGTTTTTTATATTTTGATGCAAGAAAGTTAAATTAATTGGCATCCACATGATGCACACAGCAATAATATAAATGCCTTAGCTTTACAGGTTAAAAAATTAAAATAAGAGAGTTGTGCCATATTTTAGTTTTTATCCTCCTCTGGATATTTATTCAAATAACATAGTCAATATCAGTCTCATTCAATCTTACTTTCCAATAAGCTTGTGGAAAGATGACAACCTCAGTATTTCTTTAAAATCAATGAAGAAAGGAAAGCCTACGCTCTCAACACAAAGAGTTCTTTTGTGCATTATAAATACAAACCTGGTCTAATTTGTGCATGAAGGTGATTGTTCCAGGTAGGCTAACCTTATAAATTAGATGCAAAAATTTATTGAACCTGTCATCTTATGAATGTTTGACTCAATTTTATCTCACTAACCAAAACTGAATAAATAGGAACTTGAAATTTATTTCTTATCCTTTTGAGGTGTGCATCAAAATTTTGAAGTCATCGCAGGCTTGAACCACAGGTTTATAGGAAATCTGTATGTGTGTGAGTTTTCAAGTTGACGTATAAAACCGGGATTATGAGACCTTGAATGACTTTACTACGTGCTGTACAGGTACAGGTAGGTGTTGTAAAAAAGTTTGCTTGGCTTTTTTATTAATACACATTTCTGATCATGATATCATCTAAACACAAACTGAGTTTTTTGTAAAGCAACAGCACGGTTCCCTTTACGCATAAAAATGTAGAGCTGGTTGTCGTCAGCATACATCATTGCCTTGAAACCATGTGATATCTAAGCCTACTCTGGGACCTTAAATCGCCTTAAGTTGCCTTAAGTTGCCATTGGTTATGCAATGTTATAAGGGTTCCACCCTTCCCAATTGGCCCAATTCACTCCACTCCAATCATAAGGATCAGAGGAATAGGCATGGTGGCTGAATGGTTGGTGAACTGAACTTGTTATTAGTCCAGTTTTGGTCTCTAGTGTTGGAGCATTACATTGTGTTCTTGGGCAAGATACAGTAAGCTCAAAGTGCCTCACCTCTTCCAGGTGTATATGGGTACTGTTTGGCAGGGCGAGAGGTAACCCTGCAATGGACTATGAGTTTAATTATTGTTATTGTGAGGTGGGCAATGGCTTCCATATACATGGAAACCCCATGTGAAAATAGTCATGCACTTGTCTAGACCCTGTGCTGGCATGGGTAATTCCTAAATGTAAACAATACTGATATAGGAAATATGACAATGCATACTATTCCATTTTCTTACTCAAACAGCTATCTGTTTCAACAAGATTTCTGTCGTGTATTTCATGATGAAAAAGTTGACAAAAAGGTTGACACTGTATAATCATCAGGATATAATAGATATTGAATCAAATCAAACCTACAGAGTACCAGATCATCAAGATAAAACGATAGACAGGTATTCTGGAGAAAGGCTCAATTCTTGCCACTCACTTATACCTTGAGCAGTAAAAATAACATTATTAAAAGTCAGTTGAACCTAACTGAGGCTAAACTTTACCCACTAAACTTACCCAGTGTAAAAGAGTGACAAAAGTGGGTCATTTCTCCAGCATAAACCCATTAATCTGTACTGGCTGCTTCCACCATCATATTCGACTAATTGGAAACATTTTCTCTTTGTAGCTCGACGAACCTACTAAAGGCGTAAGTATTCATCTATCTTGAGACTTTGATAGTATTTTTGTACATTTCATCTTCTTCAGTTTGATGATCAACATACAAAAGCCACATCTAAGCAGAGAAAAGCCTTTAACAGCAAACATGGCCGCCAGTCATATTTGACCACGTGACTTAAGTTTTGTCCCGTGATTAAAGTGCATGCGGGAACAACACGCACGCGAGTCTGTTGAAAAGTGTGCTGAGAAGTAACTAATTTATCTGAGCAAAAAAAAATCATTGAAGAGCTTCAAAATAATTCACTCTGAAAGTTTGACTGGGCAATCTGACATTAATGTATGTTCTATAAAACCCTGGTTTCCTTTCAACTAACTGAATGCAGCTACATTGTATTTTTTTTTATTCCTCCTCATCAAGCTACATGATAAGACAGTGACTGAAAAGATAAGCTTTGTGGGCTGCATGTAAGTAAAGGTACCAGGTAAATGTCCAATTTACTTATTGAATCTGAAGTCATAATAAAATGATGATAACAATTACTATCAATTATTTTTGTTTCCGTATATCATTCTGTGTGGTCATCGAATTCAAGGCAATTTTGTTCTGCTTCCAATTTCCTCTCAGTGTGAGCCAAATGCTGCAGACGACATTGTCTTTGCCTCACTGGACATGGATTTGAAAGTTCCCTGTAAGAAGCCAGGACCTGACCCCTCTCACCACTCTCCTTCTATGTTGCATAGCTGTGGGTTCCAATTCATGCATGTCTTATTGTTGGCCACCATCATCATCACTATCAGAATCCATATCACTTTCCCCTAAACCTGACTCCACCAAGTTTAACTTTTCCCCGAAAACATTATACAGCTCATCCAGTTTGTTGCAGTATTCATTTGTAAATGTGTACACTACATGTCCATTTTGCCAAACTGAACTTAGTTCCTCCACTGGCACAACAACTGGAATTTGTTGTCCTTGATAATGAGCCTACCAAAGTAGACCTTCACAGAGTCTAGTAAAAGAGTAAACTGCTTGAACTTAGAGGTAGACACATCAGATGTGTGTTCATCAAGCCAAAATCCAAATAACTGGCATCCAGGCCTATCTTTACTTGATGAATGAGGCTTAATTGTTGACCTGGAGAAGCCACCATTTATCTCCACTGGGGATTCCATCATCTGTCCCTGGGTTCACTGCTAAAATATCCCCAGGACCAAATAAATAATCACTGGATGGTGCACAGCCAATCTCTGTGGTGTTTTCTCCTCTTCTAATCTCAAGCTCTCTCATCAGTTCACTAAATGCTGGGAAGCAAAGTTGACACTCATCAGCACTGCTTAGCAAGAGCATATCTTTTTGAATGATCACACTAGGGCCATAACCACATCTGTACCTGTGCAAGTCCCTGATGTTCTGTGATGGTCTAGCTTTTGTCAAGACATCAAGCATTCTTGCCACCTTGAAGTCCTCCTTTCTTTGCTCATTGGTCACCTGTTGCTGTTTGAGACAAAACTGTTCTCTCCATTGCTGGTACTGTGCAATAGTTTTCACAGAAGACAAACAAGAATTGTGGCTTGGCTGGTAAGCAGTGAATGTGTTGGTGTGATAGGCATGTGGGCACTGACAAGTCCTCTTGGTAAGTTCCACTTCATGGTGACCTTTGCTGTGCACATACTGTTGAACTGTGGGGTGTCTGTACTGCCCTTTTTGTTTGTGCTTTGCAAACCCATGCTCCTTACCGGATTCATTCACAAAGGCAAATATAGGTTCAATTTATCTAGAACATCATGCTCCTCTAACAACTCAAGGGATTGAATATGAGTTTCTAAACCCTTCACAGTCTTTGCAAAGCCTTGAACTGAAGCATGGTACACAGTTCCCTCAGGGCTAACTGTTGCCATTTAAAGATGCTCTTTCTGCTGGGCTAGCAGGCTCTCCAAGTAAGCTAACAAATTAATGAGCTTGTTGGTGCCTTCCACAAATGGAGATGAGGGATTCTTTCCAAGCTGAGCTAAATGGTTTTGTTCCCTTTTGTGGAGAAACCCTATTGCATGGTAAATTTATCTTAACTTGGCCATAAAATTATTATTATGCAAAGTTAATGGCCGTGCAAATCTTAATGTAGCCATTTTTGCTGCCACCAAAGCAAGAAAAAATGGCAGTACCAAAGTCAAAGCACAGTCCTGTGGGCTCTGAAAGTTGTACTTTGGCAGCAGGACCATCACAGCAACCCATAGTGCAAGTTCCAACCATGAGCTTAACCTTGTAGGTTCCATTTGGCTCCTGTTGAAGAAACATGATTTTGTGTGCTTGGACATCTGTTACACCAAGATCCTCATTTGATGACAAAGCCACATCAAAAGCCTGCTGAAAACTTTTGGCAATGACTCCAACAGATTTGGTTTCCAATTCAATTTGTCTAATGGTATGGCCATCAGCAACAAAGACAGTTCTTTCAGTCTGAGAAAGGCAAAGGCCATGTGGAGACTGCAAGTGATAAATTACTTTGACAAGTTGACCAGCATTGAAGGTTGATTCCATGCGTATCAAGTTAAGGGTGGTTCCCTCTGTGATTGCAATTGTGTCAGTACCAACAACTGCTAAACCCTCAGGTTTCCAATAATTGTAGAAGCAGGATTTAATTTTAAAGTGCCAACAAATTTATCTCTTCGAAAAGAGTGACCACCCTTAATAACAGGGTGTCTAAATGATGCTCTAGAGGCTAATACAGGACGCTGATGTGCTGGACCTAAAAAGCAAAATGAAAAATTCAGTTAATACTTTTTGTACCATATGTAATACTTGGGGTTTATTATGATATCAGCCCAAATTTTGACTGTTTGTTTCCCAGTCTCAAAAATTCATATACCTTTAGTGCTGTAAACTGCACCCTTGCATAAATAATTTATTAGCAATTTAAATTTGCAAGGGTCATTTGCATAATTGGGAATTTTTGAGAATTCTTAGGAATTCCCAGAAAACTGGGAATTCAGTTCGCAAGGGTTACCTAGAACAATCAACTTTGTGCACAAATAAGACTAGGTATGTACTGATGATGCACAAAAGAACTATCTTTGGTATGAGGGCAGGCTTTCCTTTCTTCATTTACAAAAATGCTGAGGTTATCTGATATTTGCAAAAGCTCAGTGGAAAGTGAAAGTGAAAAAGATTGATAGCAACTATCTTATTGAGTAAACACATAGAGAAGGATAAAAGGCAAGATATGGTCTGCACAACTTTCTTATTTTAATTTTATAACCTATTAAGCTAAGTCATTTATATTCTTGCTTTGTGTATCATGCGGATGCCAATTAATTTAATTTTCATGCAGGTCAAAGTAAAGACATGAATTAAAATAGCAGAGCCCACTTTAATATCAATCCTAATTAATGGGGGATCTTCGCTTTTCCAGTTTCCCGCCCTTTAAAACTCACATATCTTGTGACCAATTTCTTGTATCAATGTTTAGTTTGGGTATGAGTATTGGTAAGAAACACCATGCATTAATGAATGAGCAAGAGTATTTAATGCAATTCAAATACTAATATTACATGTTACAAAGTGGCAACTTACACAGCAAAATTATATAATCATGCACATTCACACAATTTCAAACAAAGAAAGTCAGGTAATTGACTAACCTGCGTCAACTTTTGAGGGCTTGAGGTAGAAAGAAATAAATATGGTAAACAGTTACAGTTAATACAAAGTTGAAAGTTTAAAAGCTAAGAGATATACATTACAATCATTAAATCCTATGCATTTTAGCAAAAAAGGGTCAGTTACAACTATAACTTCTCCCAAACATTCATACTTACAGGAAATCATTAATTTTTGTCACTAGGTGGTCCTGTAATTACAATAGTTCCACTGAAACAAATGCATTTTTCTGAAGTTATCTCATAGCTTCTGACTGTACAGGTCATGGGGATGGTTTCTGCTTGGGGACTGACATTTCAATTACCTCAGCAAACTGTAATCATCAGAATTGCAAGCCAAGGTGTATTTACCAAGTGCTCAAGTTTCAAAAGTAGTGACCTAATTGTTACAGTCAAGTTCACTCCTTTTTGAGGCCATCTTCAGCTTGATCATCTTGTTACATGTGAAAACATCAAATGTTACTCACATATTCAAATACTTGCTTGAATCAAAGTTTGAATTTTTTTAATAACCTGCTTCCTTTAACCCTTTAATCCCTGATAGTGACTAGCATCTAATTTCCCCTTTCAATATCACCCCTGAATCATACATTAAGGTTATGAGAATATAGGAATAATGGTAAACTGAAGAACCTCTTGATTGTTAAACAAATTCTCCCTGCTAGCATATAAGGAAATGTATTAAGAACAGTATGGAGAATTTGCATACTGCTGTCAGGGTGTAAAGGGTTAAGAGTGTGTCTCTGTAAGAGCGGTCCGGTCGATTTTGCTTGAGACACGGAATTCGCTCATTTCTTGTGTGTTGTAAGACATTCATGTACCTACACTAAAATCACAATCTGTTTGATCGAATCTCTTTATTTTTCAGAGTTTTACGGAAATTAAATTTCACTCGAGCGAAGGCTTGTCGCGACACTTTTCAAGACTTTAATTTCACACAACTTTGGAGGACAGTTTACAAAAAACTACGGAACTCAGCAAAAAAACAAATAGCACAGCCATGTATATTAACCCTATCTTATCTATCGAGGCGACTTTTGTAAACATCACGTTTCAATCAAGGAAACAGGAAGACTTGAATGACACCTTATCGGTTCGCTTAAGTCGCACACGCCAAAACCGATCAAATTCAAAGTAAATTTTCGAAACAGTGAGGCGTTCTTAACTGATCCAACTAATATAGCTAGAAAGTAGGTGCCATAGAAAAGGTAACTACAGAAAAAAACTTTGCGGCCCGACCTTTACGAAAACTTTATAACTCCGTGAACTTACCTAATTTTCGGCAATCTCCCAGTTTGGCCGCCATTTTGAGGGACTTGTCAGCATGAAGCGTAACTGATATAAATCAAGCAGGTAGATCTAAAACCATCAGAAATACACACAAAAGCAATTCAAATGAACTTTACTTTCAATTCAAGCGGCAAAATTTGAAATTGTTCGTTAAACTTACCATTCGTACATACCTATGCGACCATTACTTCCAGCAATTCAAACACTACAACTAGTGTTCGAATTCCCCTCGTCGATTCCACTGTAAGAAATAACCTGTTCCACCCAAGCTTCGACTCAAATGTGAAGTACGAATCAAATAACATCATTGCTTCATCTTAAAGGCAATATCACGCTGGTATTTTGATTTTCGGATCGACAATAAAGGTGATCAGGTGGCGATTGCCATGTTTACCTCTTAAACGTGACCGCTGACCAGCCGCTGAGTGAAAACAGTATAGCGCTCGAGTGAAATTTAATTTCCGTAAAACTCTGAAAAATAAAGAGATCCGATCAAACGGATTGTGAATTTAGTGTAGGTACATGAATGTCTTACAACACACAAGAAATGAGCGAATTCCGTGTCTCAAGCAAAATCGACCGGACCGCTCTTACAGAGACACTCTCTTAATAGTGCCCCAAAAATAGTAAATAGTATTGGAGAGAAAGAAAGAAAGTTCTTAAAACATTCTATGTTAAATGAAACTTTATTATGAATGTTACTTGCAACAGCAATGAAAACATCCGTGAAGCTACAATAACAATTACCTTTCCATGTAAACAAACCATAATGAAGCATGATATGGATAGATTTAATCTCACCCAGTTTGAATGTAAAATCTGAAATCTAATAAACTTACTAGTGAATAGGAAAAAGCTCAAAGTGGTTTTCCTGCTTCTCTCACTCCCCTTACAAAAATAGTGTCTATTTTATATCCATTTTTTAAACTATTTTTTCCCTATTTTTTGTGTATTTTTTCTCTATTTTTCCAGACTATTTTAAAGCTATTTTTTAAACTATTTTAAACCTATTATTTTGAAACAAAAAATAGTAAACAAATAGTCTGGTTAGCAAGTCATCTACTGTATAGATAGCATTAAAATAGCTTTAAAATAGAGAAAATGTGTATGCGATTTGATGATAAAATAGGATTAAAATAGCATTAATGAAACATTAGTTATAAAAGAAAATAGACATAAAACAGGGATAAAATAGAGAAAAAATACAGAAAAATAGGGAAAATAAGATATAAATACATTTAAAATAGGTTTAAAATGGAATAAAGGAGGAAAAAAGTTGAAGAAGATAGGAATCAAATACCTATAAAATAGGTCTAAGAGACATAAAATAGACATAAAACAGGGATAAAATAAGAAAAAAAACTTGAAAAAATAGGATATAAATACACTTAAAATAGGTTTAAAGTAGAGCCTCATGTATATGCAATTCCTAGGAAAAAATGTAATTCCTAGGAATAAGAGGTGTGAATTTTTATGGTAAATTTGAAATGGGAATTCCCAACTGTAATAGCACTGGTTCTAAAAACCTAGAAATTCCAACTTAATAGCCAACAGGACTTTAAATTCCTAGGACTTCCCAGGAATTCCAACTCAGAGCACCAACAACTTTCCCTAAAAGGCATTAAATCCAAAACCTTGCCAGAAATTCCTAGGAATTTTCAGGAATTTCTAGGAATATTTAAGACTTACTGGGAATTCTCAATGCATTGAGGTATAAGGGAAAGGGAGGAAAGGGAAGGGGCTGGGAAGGGGCTGGGGAGGAGCCAGGGGATGGGAAGAACAATTTTGTAGTCTCGGCAGGGGTACCCGAATGGGTGAACACGCCGAGGCTACTTTCACTGCATTATTATTTTAAGGTTACACAAAATCTTCGCACGTGTCCTTCAAAAAAAAATTCGTACGCGTGCTGTTTCGCAGTAAACTACCACAAACTATATATCAATAGAAAGGTTATGAACTGTAGGTTTCGAAAAAAATATCCACTATATGCGAAGAGCCGTCTTTAAAAAGTTAGAAGCCGGTAAACAGAATACGACCGAGTGTCATTCCGCCGAATTAATCGGGTATCAAACGCCATCGCTTTTTCAAAGCAACTGCACAGTATCAATCAGCAAGGATCAATCTCAAAAAGAGTGTCAGGATTTCCCTGATTTCCCATTGGTTATCTTTTTATAGACACGCAAAGTTTTAGTAGCGAATAATTTGCCGACCCAGTTGCGTTTGCGGCCGTAAAATAAAAAATATATAAATTAAAGCTAATCTCCGACACCCGTTTGTTCCTCAATGCTTAATAAATGTTCTAGCCAAATTTCAGTAGAATCCGTCGATTCTACATACCCTATTAATTCATTTAAAGACAAGGTGTTCTTGTGAAAAACGATTGCGAGTTTTCGCCATTCGAAGATTTGTAAACCTGTCACGCCTTCACCTGAGATGTATGTCAACAACAACAAAAAAACCGCCCGCCCGCTCTCTTTTTTATAGAAATCCGGACGAGAAACATATGTTTTTTTTACTTGGCTTTATTTACACTGGCTGGTATTAAAAATCAATTCTTTATTGTCGCAAAAGCTTTCACCGCGCCGCTTTTTCCGAAGTGTCAACTCACACTGTGAGTAACTTCGGAGTGAGCGGCATTCACGCATGAGACGCGAAAAACCAAAATCGCAGGCTAGTCATCCAGGAAATTCCCATATCTTTCTGTTAAGGTGTTTTTTCCGCTGTCGTGAAATTAAGTACAAAACTTTGTAGGCTTGTTGTATTAGAATCCAGTATTTGAATGCACTAGGGCTACAGTCCAGAGTCAACTTGATGATTGGTGTTAAGTTCTATTCACTGGCCGCCGGCCTTAGACAGCTCTTGTAACATACCAGACACAACGCGAATAGTGAGGTCGCAGATTACCGAATCACAGCAATATGGATGCAGGTAAATACATTCTCCATATCATAAGTAGTTATAGTTCACATCTTAATCTCTGCTTATTGTATCCTTGAGCATTTTGGTAACGAAAGTTAGTAATAGAATTTCTTATGGCCGATGCGCAGTCAAAGGTTAGAAAATGACCAAGATTTCGGCAAGGAATGTTTACTTTGTACACGTGCCACTCCAACTATACTCCACGTAGCCGGCAGCCGGCTACGCGGTACGCAGAAACTAATTAACTCTAATGTAAGTTCAAGTTAGTATGTAATATATTCAAAATGCCGTGGCAATGTTATATGCTGACTACACGGTACATGGTATGCAGTGAGAGAAAAAGCTCATTCAATAGTATTTCTCGTTCTAAAAACGTGACAACCCCAACATCATCTCTCGTTCTTAAAACGTGGCACCCGAATAATTCACTTTTAAAGAGACTATAACTTTCGCGTAACTTCCACGAAAACCGCGAAGAACCCGCATCCGTCTTTCATATTCATTAGTCACTGCTGTGTACCGCGTACCGCGTACAGCGTAGCCATCGAAAAATATAACTTCCGGTCTCTGTTTTTACTATTTGAGGTAATTTCCTTCGAAGAATTAATTATTACAAACGTTTCTTTTCGTTTCAGCTTATTACCTTCTTTTAGCAGCTTTGTTTGTGGCTGGTTTTGTTTTGGCAGTTGTCTTTTCATTGCGTTTTGTTTTGCCCGGCCAGATTCGCCCTGTTGAGAGGGAAAGGGATCGTTGGCAAGAGAGGGCCGAGCAGCTACAGCAGATGCTCGACCTTCAATTGCAACCCCAACCCCCGGCCTACCCTCCTCCTCCTCCGTACCAATCCGACTTATCCGAGGAGGAAATGGTCCAGATTGTATAGACGATAACACTTTTCTTTCTCACTGAGTACAACAAAGTGGTCAAGCCTTGGCTACTTTGTACTCGCTTTATGGGATTTTTTCCAGGTAAGTGAATTAAGAGTGATATAGACAGTATAAAAGTGACCGGGAAGCTAAGGCCCTGTTTACAAGGAGGTAGGGTAACCCTAGTGCTAGGGTTACCCTAGCAAGAGGGTTACCCTGGCACTCACACATTTCCTCTTGTTTTCAAGACGACGCGTTTACAAGGCGGCTTAGGTTACCCTGGCGCTAGGGTAACCCTAGCTGACTGCTAGGGTTACCCTAGCGCCAGGGTAACCCTAGCTGCCTTGTAAATGCTCTGCTAGGGACAACTCGCCTACCCGGGACAACTCTATTTTGGCTCCCAAAAGCAAAACATTATCACAGTACCGACACAGTCAGCGAATTGTGACCAAGAAAATATCAATTTCTTTCACAATTTGTCATATGTTTGCTCTGGAAATAATATTTTTCCGGTTTTGTAATTTGTTCTGTCGGTTGCGTGCTTTATTTACAAGGTTAACCGAAGCGTAACGAGTGCAAAGTTGTCTCGGGCAGTAGGGTTACCCTACCTGTAAATTTTGCTTGTAAACCCGGGCTATCTTTTAACCCTCTTGCTAGGGTTACCCTGGCAGTAGGGTTACCCTATCTCCTTGTAAACAGGGCCTAAGATTCAGGGCCAGGTGAGGGGTCAAGTTCTCTTGTCTAAAACTGTTTTTCGTTCCTTATATTTTGTTACATTAAGGTCTTCAATTTGAGAATTTAGATGTTTTGATTTTTTGTATGCCTTGCGACTCGTATGATAGTTATGTCGAAGATTTGTATCGTGAGGGTTTCTATCTATGTTTTTTGTTGGACAGCGTACTGAGGTTTTTTCGCAGAAGGGCGCAGTCTTTATCAAACCATAATTTGTTTTCTTTGGTTTCTTTTTAAGGCAAACTGCTGTGAGAGAGCTTTCACCGTACACGCATTCAACCACCAAGCCATCCTCGCACAAGCAATCACCAACCACACCTACCAAGCAAGCACCGACCACCGCTATTGACTCTCGCTTTATTTTTTTCGCAGTGAACTTTTTACCTGATTTATTTTATTCTATAACAATTATTTTTTGGTTTTTTTGCTTTATTATTGTACTGCCTTTTTCTGTATTGTTCTTTTACTTTTGCTGGCTCAGGATCTGAGGAAACAACGAACCACCTGCCGCAACCAACATTCCATTGAGGGAAAGATTGGGATCACTACCCCCTGTTCCTGAGCAGCAGTGACATTTTTTTAAAAACATTCCATTCAAATTTTCTTTTCATTTCATTTCAACTTGCTGTAAAATTTGCTTTGCTTTCTCTCCTTATTCAATATGAACAGTCTGACGAATTTCGAGCACAATATATTGATCAGTTCTCTGTATTTTCCAGCTTCATACATATAGTTTCTTAATCATTTTTGTTAGCAGACTCGTGTAAATGTCATTTCCTTGCACATAGGCAATTCCACATGACTGTAAATAATAGAAATATTTAAAAACCTGTACTTCACTTATCAAACGTTATTTTTTTG